TCTGCCATACCTTGTTGCAGATAAGATGAAACATCTGGTCGCCGCGTTCTCCTAAGGCTTTAATTGTCTCTATCGGAATTGCATCTCTACCAGTTGCTTTTTTGTTCTTCAAGTGTTTTATGGCAGCTCTTACTTCGGACAGGAGGATGTCTGGTTCCAAATTCTCCCGTTCTGGGTCTGTGCTTGCAAATTGTTGCGACTGTGGGTCTCGGAATAATGACTGACAGTAGTTCTTCCACGTTTCAGAGATTTGTTCCAGCTCTGTTACCACTTCATTTTTGTCGTTCTCAATAGCCCAGGTTTTAGCCGGTAGAGATTTGGTAATTAGACGAATTTTGTGGTACAGATCTCTAGACTCATGCCTCATAGCGTGTTTCTCAACATCTTCACAGATGCTACGAAGGTGACAGTTGTGGTCTCGCCTGCAGCAAGCTTGGATTTCAGCAGACATTTTATTTAACTCTCTTATGTCTGTTCCTGCAGCTTTCTTAAGACGCCTCTCTTCAATTAGAGCAAGAGTACTGTCCGTCATCCAATGTTGACGTTTGCGTGTTTTTGTCCTTGTTTTAGTACACATCTATATAAAACAATTTAACGGTTTAAAAGCGATTTATATTAGCTAAACTTAATTGAAAATTATTTTTAACTACGGCCCGACTTTTCGGATGCTTTGCAGCAGCCGTTGTCACGGGGAGTTAAAGTGTTTTATTTAAATGTGTCCTACTCGCGTAAACTACAGACAGTATTTCAAATTGAACCTTTTCAGATTATTTCTATACCTTCGAACGTGCGATATATACCTCGATAGTAGTTTATTAATAGTCTCTGTCACTCAATATCCTCAAGTTCCTGTGTTTGAATCCGTGAAATCAATACTTTGTACAGGTCACACATCTATTCGTTTCGGCTATAAATAAATATCTCAATTAAACTAGGTGCCCCATGCCCTTAGGGGAACTGGATTTAAGATATTCTCGATCATGAATTCTAATAGTCTGTAATTTACGCGAGTAGTACACGTTTAAATAAAACACTGGTAACAGTATTAAACGTGTAATAAATTAGCAAACTTATTATTTAATTATTTATTACGGCCCGACGTTTCAATTTAATTTCGATTGTAATAGAAACAGGTTTTAAGGGATATTCTTAATCATGAAATCTAAGTGTCTATAGTTAGCGCGAGTAGTGTACATTGAAATAAAACACTTTGAACGGTCTACAACCCGAAATAAATTACCCCGACGTATAAGATGCTTAGCAACAGCCATGATCACGGGGAGATTAAAGAGGGTGTCACGAATGTCAAAGTAAAACCGGGGGACTTGTCAAAGATTTAGACAAAAAGCACTGAATGTATTTTGAACAAACTAACAGTTATAACTACTAACTTGTAACTTGTGTTAATGTACTAACTTAAAACGATATTGCCCAATTTAAAATCATTATCCCGTTTCAATAGATTTTGTACAGTATTTAAACTGTAAATTAACAAAAAAATATGAAAAGCTTTCTATAGTAAACCTTTTTCTACTATCTCTTGAACTGGAATCCTTAAAACATAAATTTAATTATATTTATGGAATAATAAAGTTGCCTAGATTCACCCAAATAACCGTTATTCATTAACTAGGTCTTAATTTAACTTCAACTCGAAAACGGCCACCTATTTTAATTTGCAAGGTTTCTTTTTTCATTTGTATTAAAAAGCTAATGTATTCATTGAGTTGGTAAAATTTTCCACCACGTGCAAAAAGTCATTAAAACTTTTCAGCAGTGCTGTTTATGAATAAACTTTACATAAAGGTTTAACAAATCCGAAACTTATCGCATCGGAGAGTTGCCGGGACTCACTACACAATGTCGTTGTTTAAAAATCTTGCTTAATAAACCAGAACTTTAAAAAAAGTACTTAAACATCGGTATAGAAGGTGAAGTGTGTCAAAAAGCTTTAATATTTTTCACGTTATAATCGATTTTTAATTGTGTACCAACATTCGATTTAAAAAAAAAGAAATGTTTTGTTTAACAGTCGGTAAATTTTAATCAATGTAACTGTTTCTTGTTGAAAATGGGTTTCAACCTATTTTTGTGGATTGAACTGTGAAGTGCATTTCAACATATTGCACAATGTGCATATTGGAAACGATAACAAAACACTCTACATTTATAGACGTGAGCCAGATCTTCGTCATACATAAAATAAATCACAACACATGATACTCCACTCTAAGATATTTCTAAAAGCTGGATCATAACTTCGTTAAGAAACAAATATTATACCAATTAAACACATTATTATATATATTAATATAGGTATAACACGAAACCACTATAAAAAAAATAATCTGAAATGTAAGTACGTTACTGTCGCTTTTGAGCATTCTTCTACAAATCAAATTTATTCCACATAGAAAACAAATAGTAAAATAGATATAGAGGGACACCACTCACTTTGTGTTGTACCCGGAAGTAGACAACGCCCATTTTCAGTGATGCCGCTTGACATTTGAAGTAACACATATAAACCAACACATAACACAACATTTTAACAATTAAATACATGAAATAACAAAATGTTAAATAGGAAACCCCGAACTTTTAAGGAAATAATTACCATAGTAAATCTTCTCCTATGTCCTAAAAGCAGCAACAGAACTTTATTAAAGCGTACAGAGCGCCAAAAGTCTTTCGTTTTAATATGTGGAGTCCCTCTCAAAGTTTCCAGAAAAACGCAAAGTTTCACATCAGTTCGCATCCTTGCTGAGCAATTTTTTAAAAGTTTGAACCGCCACTAACGCTGGATTTTGTTGAGCGTGTATCATTTTGTTGGGATACGATAATGTCTGCAAACAACTAAACGATGCTTCTAGTAACATTGAGGTGAAATACTGCAAACATATTTTGCTTCGTCACCAGAACTTTAATAGGTCCAATAGTTTAGATTTAAAACTATATTGGATCTAGATATTTGTAAATCTACAGACTGAAACCGACTTTTCCATCTGTTGACACCGGCGTGTAAACCAGACGGGGTTTCGTTATTTCATAATGTTAGACACATTAAACACATTACCAATAAATCCACACTTCAAACTGAAACATACCCACTTCTTCACGATAACAGACAAGCATAGGGTTCAATTTCTTAATGGAAATTCATATACCCAAACCATACATAATCTAAAAAATGTGTTGTCGACCTATTTGAGCTTCAAATTTCCTTAAATCCACACCTATCCACATCCTAGATTACTTTAAGTATATCAGAAACGAAAAAATTCACTAGATTTTTGGTTCATATAGCACTGACACAGTTGTGGAAGTATACAGAATTATTGCCTCATTAATTTGATTTCTAACAGCACATTAAATAAACGTCTTGTGAATAAAAAGACTAAAAGACTATATTCAATGGATATATGAAGCTGCTAGAGGCGGAGTGGCCTAATAACAAAAAACAAGATTTTTAATAAGGCAAAAAACATTGTCAAATTATTATTTGTGTAAGAGTTATTTTAACATTTCGAACACTCTTCATCTTTACTTCACCTCACATCTTGTAGATTAACAATTTTAGGAAAATATAAATAAATAAGTTATAAAATTGCAGTTAGTCCAATTTGCCTCTTGCGGCCTCATATATAAATCAATAATTACCAAATATTTATATAGTTTGACTCTGCAAAAAAGATAAGATAGACAAAATTATCGTTATCAACGTGAATGACGTAAGTTCAATGCGGATTGATAAAATTATCTAATATTTTTTATCTAGCTTTGTATTATTGTACGTTCATATGCAAAAGTTGAAATAACACACCAGGATACCGGTTTATTGTTACAAGCTTTGGAAACTGTTAGTGTTGATGTTCTATCGCGAATTTTTACATCGCTCCTGGTATTCTGTAAAGTTTTGCGATAATAAAGGAAATAAGAAAATTATTTATAAAAACATTAGAAATTTTAATATTTTTAACATGTTGCGCATGAAGGCACTATATAATTTAAAAATGGAAGATAAATTGAAACAATGTCCGACTCGTGCACGACTTGACGATTAATTAAATAAACGTTATCTTGTTATACACATGTCATTGTAGCAACAAAAAGCACTTGTTTGCAAATCAACTTTCATCACGATCAGATTATTATTTTTTTGTATGTAAAACATAGAACTCACCATAGTACCTACTATAGAAGGCTTGTGGACAGAAACGCTTTGTACGTCTGTAAATAACTCAAATTTAAAATTTAAAATACTTTACTCCCCAAATCTTCAACGAGCAAAAATAATGAGTAGACTGCCCTTGTAAAGCTTTAAAAATAGTTACCAACATTAAAACACTTTTACCGATACCTTATTGTAATTTTGAATTTAGAAGGCAAACAGCAAAAAGCTTATAACGAACGAGACTCGAACCTCTGGGTCTCCGGAATCTGAAACTGTGTAATAGTTAAGGAGCCGTAGTTTCGATTCTAACTAAGACATGTTGGGCTTAGAAAAATCTGGATTATATTACGTGAATGTAATATCAAAACGCCTGTTTTACAAACCGCTGTTAATAGATGGATGAATTTTATCGTTTCAATTTCAGTCTGTGGATATCCAAATATCCAAAGCCTGCAGAGATCGACAGCACATCTTGTTTCAGTTCGAGGGAGCCCTATGTTTACCTGCCATCATCTATGAAGTCCAATGTTTTCTATGTAAAGCAAATTCTAGAGAAACAAATCCGGCTTCATTTTGCGCATAGTTATTAACAAGATTGTGAACTGAGTGGCACAGTTGGTCAGTCTAGCCGAGGCGTGTGACCTTGCCGCAGTAAATATAGATCGCCACCGTTTCCGTCGCCAACAAAACGCTAGTGTGGTACAGTCGCGTTCAACAGCCATTTCTTATCACTCAAAATGGATAGATTACGCGGTAATCACTGTACGGAGGTTAGTTATGTGTTCAAGTGCGAAATTGATGTTGTGTAAGGTGTTGTGTTTTTAAAATGTCCGAGTCTTCCACGCCAGCGAGAAAGTGTTAGTATATATTATATATGTATATGTATACATCATTTTGATTAGTTCGTAGCGCAACTCGTAGAACTTTATGCCGAATTCTAAATTTGAGCTAGAATTACCTAACGTAAAGTTAGAATGTAAAATGTGCAGGTTTTCGTGTTTTGGGACGTTGCTATATGGTTTATATAAAACGACGACATGGATACACGAAAAATATAGTTAGATAACCTTCTAAAACCAACTATTTCGTTCCGTTACTATATTCTCCTTTTTACTATGAAGTTATTCAACTATATTTTCTTTGTTTGATAAAGGACAATACGGTTTTGTTATTTGAGCTAAGGGTCCAATTATTTTAAATACTTTTAGACATATTTATATCAAACGAACATAAAAAAGCAGGTTTTCAATGCGATTTGTATTTTTATTAACAAACTTATTTTCAAAGTGATTAGTTAAAGATATTTAGTTTGAGACTTCCTTACAATACAAGACTAAAGACAGAGCAATACATATTTGTATCTTAGTTATTTCTCAATGCTTCAAAGGCTGTACATATTTTGATAAAAATTACGTTACTGAAATTTCTGATTGTGGATTTCATTCCATGTATGTGAATAGCGCAGTAAACATTGGACGCTCTAAATGAAATCAATTCAGTTAAGTATTATCTGTATACGAGTTTACGCGGGTGGTACAAACGAAATAAAATAAATGTAACTGTTTAAATCGCACATTTTATTAGTTCATGGGTCGACGCACATCTTGTTTAGAAATTAAAGGTCTTTCACCAGTGGACCCAATTCTAGTCTGTCCACCTCTATCATATAAAAAAATTGTAATGATCAATAAAAAAGGCAAAAATTGTATTATTATATAAATTCTATTAATTCAAAATCTTTTTATATTAAAACAATTCGATCATAACTAGGTGTAGAGCACGGATTGCTCTACAAAGTAAAGCTGGTTCGAGTCCCGCTCATCAATCTATACGTTCATTCAAAATAGATGTTTAAATTAATATAGTTTATAATCAATCGTATAGTCTATATCAGACTTCCATAGGACTACATGATATAGGACCTAATTATAGAAAACACATTCAAATCATAGAACACAACAATATTATCGTTAGTTAGTGATTAGCGAACTAATTACCAATTACCTTGAGATAGAATAGTCGAGATTATTATAAATTATATTATGTATGAAGTTGTGTTTATAACAATTCGTAAACAACATTGTTTAACTTCCGTAGCAACACGCTTGAACAACACGTGTGAATTTAGAGTGTACCTGTAATTTTTTAAGATTATCAGTTATTTAACAATTTTTAATTAAAGCTTTTGATTTGAGTTTAATTTTCTTTCGTTCTAAAGCATAATGGAATCAACAGGTCGTGGGGTTTGATCCCCACCGAGTCCGCGATGTTTCTAATTAATTTATAAACTTTATGAAACATTTTGAACTGGAAAAATCTCGAAATTTAACGATGATAAAAAGAATGATCGCGAACAATCGTGGACAGATACAAACTACATACATTTTAACCTTTAACAATATGATATTTGCATTAATATTTGGCAAGTACACACAATTTAATGATAATGATTCAATATCCCCTGTACGACAAATGTAGCCCACTTATATATGTTTCATCATATTATTGAAGTAGAAATGGACCGAATGTAATTTAAAACGAATTTGAGTTTCAGATTATATTTCAGAATCTATAATAATTATTCTATAAATTAACTTTTATTATATTTATAAAATATATTGGAGAGCTCGAAGATTGTTACAACAATATTATCACAAATTATTTTTATTTGTCATATAGCATATCTGTAACTAGTATCATAAAGATGAAGGGTTTGTTTGTTTATTTGAACGCGCTAATCCCAGTAACTACTGTTTCGAATTGAAAAAAGTAGAAATGGACCGAATGTAATTTAAAACGAATTTGAGTTTCAGATTATATTTCAGAATCTATAATAATTATTCTATAAATAAACTTGTATTATATTTATAAAATATATTGGAGAGCTCGAAGATTATTAAAACAATATTATCACAAATTATTTTTATTTGTCATAAAACATATCTGTAACTAGTATCATAAAGATGAAGGGTTTGTTTGTTTATTTGAACGCGCTAATCCCAGTAACTACTGTTTCGAATTGAAAAAAAAATCGTTGTGTTGATTAGAGCATTTGCCAAGGAAGGTTTTAGATTATGAAACATCATGCTGCAACCAACAGAAGTGAAATAAACAAATGGGAAATGTTAAAAATCGGGAATAATTATTTGTCTTTGCGGGTTCGTACGCTTTATCCTACTCTACGCGAACGAAGTACCTGGCACAGTTAGTATACTATAAATTGTAAAAGCATGTTTCAATAAAATGCACATATAAATTCAAAACTTACATAATACCAGAACAATGAATTTACATATTGAACTTTTATGGGTACTTCGTAACATACTGGCGCAGTACAACGATAATATAAATTCCGCGTTCGCTATATTTATTAGTTAGCATAGATTATGTTAGACAGAGCGTGTTGCAGCTAAAATTCAATATGAACCGGTCGTGCATACTTTTTACAATGGCTAGATGTAGTGTAATGTAAAACCATTACTCGCTTGCACTTTTTGACGGGTTAGTTGGTTTAATGGTATAATAATCAACAGGTTGTGATACTGTCTATAGTTTACGCGAGTAGTACACATTTAAATAAAACACTTTAACGGTTTAAAACGCGATATATTAGTTAAACTTATTTGGAAATGATTTTTAACTTCGGCCCGACGTTTCGGATGCGTTGCAGCGGCCGTGGTCACCGGGTTTTAAACCGTTAAAGTGTTTCATTTAAACAGGTTGTGAGTTTGATGCCAACCGGGTCTAACATGTAACGCATTTATAATTTTTCTGAAACATATTGAAATCTGGATATTAAATGGCGACCACAATCCACAATTAAAGGAGCCGCGAAGTGTGCGTCGATTTTTCATTTGTTTTCCGAACATTCAAAGCCGAAACGGGTCAACAGCGCATCTTCTGTCTAGTTTTGTCTATTTTAAGTTTCTTATTATGAACGATACATATCTTTATCAGTTTTTCGCTAAATACTGCCTACAGCTTACGCGAGTAGTACACATTTAAATAAAACACTTTAACGGTTTAAAACTCTTTAGCCTCCCCGTGACCACGGCTGCTGCAAAACATCCGAAACGTCGGGCCGAAGTTAAAAATCATTTTCAAATAAGTTTAACTAATATATCGCGTTAAAGAGTTTATAGCTAATTCTCCTCTAGAAGAGACGTCTGTCCCATACGCAAAAGAAAGGAGATTTTACTATTTTATTTGTTTCAGTGGTTCTGAGCACTCTTCTTGAAACGGATCACTACGAAAGCCTAATTAAGGATTTGACCTGTACAAAATGTAACCGATACATGAAGCCGCCAATATACTTGTGTATTGACGGTCATAGTATATGTGGGCCCTGCTATGAGAAAAGCTATGAATGTCATGTATGTAAGGTTAGTATAGTACAGTAGTACAAACGTGTTCCTATGGCTTCCATGCCTCCTCCACACGTATGTAGATACGTCTGCAGACGACATCAAACGCATACGCAGATAAATCTCTACGAGCCGTTCTTACGTGTGTGATTCGATATGTCCAATGCCCGGTGTACGCCGTTTGCCGACGCCATCTACTGATGTATCTGTCAATGCGTAAAGGAGCTGATTTGGTCGTCTGTGGCTTTCTCCATGGTCGTTTATTGGCTTTCGACAGACGCAACACGTAAGCACGCAAAACAAATAGTCGATATTTATATTCATAATTTTCATTCTTGAACAATTATTATCTATTATTAATAATTACGTAAGAATTTCATTTAACTAACTGTTTAATTGCATCTGTTCAGTGAAATCTATAATAATATTATAAAGCCGAAGGGTTTGTTTGTTTGAACGTGCTAATTTCAGGAACTACTGGTTCAAATGGAAAATGATGTTGTGATTTTGAATATTAAAAGTTATGTAGCCTAAATACTGTCTATATATCGTGTTTTAAACCGTTAAAGTGTTGTATTTAAATATGTAGCATAGTGTTATAAGAACTACTTTTTCCCCTACTGTACCAACATTTTGAATAGTACCTCACGACACGTCGAAATCTTTCTCGTAATACTTTTGAGAACACGTTTTTCAGAAAGAGTTCGCGCTCATTCGGCCTCAAGTTCTAGAGTCGTTAGCGAACAAAGTTCTCTTCCCTTGCACTAACAAGGGGTGTCCAAAACATGCAAATCTTCCAGCCCTCGAGCAGCACACGGCACACTGTCAGTACAGAATCATAAACTGTTTTATGTCTAGAGTTTATGGTGAGTGTCAAACTAAAGTTGTTTTATAGATCAGTGTGTCATTGAACAAATTCGTCGAAACGAACGAGGCTCGAACTCACGGCCATAGTCGTTGTCATATTTGTTTAATTCTTTTTAAGCTTGTCTATATCAGTAGCAAATAATTTTCTATACATCGAGTTCTTCATTGTAATCTCTTTTGCTTGCGGCTTATATTATGTCGCTTAGAACTAAAATTTTACTTATTGACACAAAAGTACAGCCCAGCGTTAATATCACAGACTAAATACGTTTTATTTTAAGGTGACTGCCAGTGGGAAGGTAGAGCTGGTGAATGGATGGGACACTGCTTCTCCGATCATAAGACAAAAGTGACAGAGCTTCCCTTTATAACAGTAAAAGACAAGTGGAACGGGAAGCGCAAAGAACCCGTCTTGAATTATTTCTTACTGAAGTGTTATGATAAGATATTCAACGTATATCAAATTTATGATAAGCGAGGTGGTAAGTTTAAGATATTAGTTAATTTATATTTTAAAGCTTTTAGTAAAAATTGTGAATTGTCTATGAGAAATAATGCTTTTAATTGAATTTTTTAAACTTAATCTTAAAGAGTTTTAAATACTGTCTATAGTTTACGCGAGTAGTACACATATAAATAAAACATTTTAACGGTTTAAAACGCGATATATTAGTTTAACTTATTTGAAAAACGGGGAGTCTCCCCGTGACCACGGCTGCTGCAAAGCATCCGAAACGTCGGGCCAAAGTTAAGAATAATTTTCAAATAAGTTTAACTAATATATCGCGTTTTAAACCGTTAAAGTGTTTTATTTAAAGAGTTTTTAAAATGTTTGCCTAGAATATATGATTTGCAGTTTATTACACATAATATGCCATATAAAAGTTAACTATTTATCTTATAATGATACATATACATAGTTTGGTTGATCGATTTTCTTGTTTTTTGGCTGCTTTCCTGGATTTTAGAAGGTACTGATATCAATTATTATGTAGTGTAAAATTGCCTAGTAACGTATCTATAAGTATAATTTGACATACTCGTGAATTTATGTGTGGGTAATACTTTTTTTACTATTTTAGGTAGAATGATGTGGACTGTGCTTGTAAATGAGGACCAAGCTGATAGATTCTACTTCGAAGTCGATATATTTCTACCGAATTTCCCAAGCAAGAGAATCATCTACAGGTAAACTCCAGAAAAATAACGAAGGAAATCATAAAAAATCTCAGCGGATTGTCTTCCAGAAATCAAGACAACAAAATTTATGGCTTAACCGTCCTTTGTAAATGATATCTTATCTTTTCTAAACTTTCTTAAAACGGAATCATTTCCTCGGAGACGTTTATTTCTTTGGAGAGTAGCCAAATTATTTCGGGTTTATCGCGATAAGCCGAAGACGGTATTTTAATTGCATTAATTTTTCCTCCAGGCGACCCTGCAAATGCGAGAAGGACGCTGATTTCCTCGAACACACTCAAAACATATACATTCCGATTGAAAATATTTTCTCGATGTTGGACGAGAGTGAATCCATGAATTTCACAGTTCGGATCGGTGAGTTTAATATAGTGCAAATATTTACGCAAATTATAACCGATTTGTCTTGTTTGTTCAGGCTTACAATTCACTGAGGCATACAAACTAAATCAATAGCCTAGCTTTGTGGTGCCATGCACTGAAGTATCCTAAGTCCGTTTTATACCCATAATAAAATAATAAACCCTAAAGATTTGTCGTTTGGATTTGATACACAATTAAAGTGACCTAGCAAACGTTCTTTTCCTATTAGAAGTATTTTGGACGAAATTTGATTCTCATAAATACGGTTATAGTGACTTAACCATTAACGATAAACATATATTGTCGCGGACATTTTTTAGATTATTTAGCATTAACTCGTTAAGCTAAAGCCTAACAAAGGTACAGTACAGTACAAATGGACTAGACATAAATGATTTTAAAACACTAACGAATGTTGTGTAACGAAATTTTTAATTTAAATGATTTCGTATATAAAAAAAGATATTGCAAATTTCGATCACAACGTGTTATTACCGTGTGTAGCGTTACCGTATAAAACTGCCAGTAGAATTTCTTAAACCGATTTTCTAATACATATAAGCAAGATCTCAACTTTATCACTGTATACTGTCTATAGTTTACGCGAGTAGTACACATTTAAATAAAACACTTAAACGGTTTAAAACGCGATATGTTAGTTAACCTTATTTGGAAATTATTTTTAACTTCGGCCCGATGTTTCGGATGCTTTACAGCAGCCGTGGTCACGGGTGCGTTTTAAACCGTTAAAACGTTTTATTTAAATTTATAACTGTATGTTTTTGTAATTATGTGTAATGTTAATTTTCAGGTGAGGTAGAAAACCTGCCCCTCCAAGACACCCCATCGGCCAGCGAAAGCCTCATTCTACTTAATGATGAAGCTAAAGAAAATTAATTTTTATCTTAGTATCTAGTTATAGTGACTGTTAATTTTTGTTAAATATTGTTGCAGTGTTAGTTTGTGTTATATATTTGTGGTATGTGCATTCCCGGTTTTGTTTCTAATTTATTTTTGATTTAGAAGATTATTATTTGTATACATCTATATCACGTTACAAAAATAATGAATTTAATTCACGATTTAGAAGTTAAAGTAGATATTTCCACAAATATTAAAATGAAACACTTTAACGGTTTTAAACGCGAAATATAATAGTTAAACATTTTTTAACTATGGCCTGTTGTATCGGATGCTTTCAGGGGATACTTACAGGGCCGGACTTTGAACCGTTACAACAAACAATTCTTATAAAAGAATTGTAGAAATTAAGAAAATTGATTGTAGAATAGCATCTGCGCCTACGCGTATAAGAATTTTCAGGGTATTTAATTTATAATAAATTATTAATACTACCGTTAACATAGATGTTTTATTTCAAGTTATAAAATATTTATCAGCTACCAACTCCTGATTCGGGTACACTGTGCATTACCTTGAATTTTGTTACCTATTTAAGATATATAATATGAATTGAAAATAAAATTCTTTACGTCATTACATTTGAAACCTCTGAATTTATGAATATATTTCAATCAAATATTAAACATATATTATACATATAAAAATCATTCTATCATTAAAAAAAGACATCAGATTTCAAGATTTCAGCATACATAGCGTCGGCGACTTGGTTTTATTTATTAAACAATTAAAACGGCAATGGCCACTTACATTAATTGGATAAAATTATACTGACATATAGACATATGATTTGTATATTATGATGTGTGTACACTACACAGTGATGCTATAAGGTTTTCGTCAAACTTCTCTTTAAGAATAATTCTTTAAAAACATTTATCTTAGTAGGATACTCAAAGTTGTAGTGGAAGATGCCAGATTCTTGTCTGGTAGTTACTAGAAATTAGATAATGATTTTAATTTCGTGGGTATACAAACAAATATGTATAAAGCAAAACGTATTGGTTCATCACATTTTTGAAAACGTATTCGTAGTGGAAAATAAGTTAATTTTGTGATTTTCAGCAAGGGGAACTATTGAAAGTTTTTGCCGAGGTATTAAAGATTTTCTCAGTAGATTATTACCTGGTTTTTCCATTCGCATCACTGTAAGAAATAAATGAACTGGACATTTTTCCGCTCATAATAAAAATATATGCTGTTATCGATAGCGGTATAAACCATTTAACTTCAAACGAACCATAGAAAATAATATTGAACACGGAGGGATGTGAAGCAAAAAATCTTAACTGAAATCACTAGAGCATAATATGTATATTCGTTATTACGGTACGGTATACAGTTTTTGCTTGGTTGGGTTATTAAATAGGGTAGTTGTAAAAAATCACATTTCAAATAAAAGGAAACAGCTTAACTAGTTAATACATTCGTATATCAAAAGTAATTCTAAAACCTTTTAATACGCGTGTCCTTGAACAGCTGTAATGATTAAGAAGTTCGACACAGTAAGTAAAGCCATGGGTTCGAATCCCGCTTGCATATTAGTAAGAGAGTATTATGATCTATATAAAAACTAGTCGTATTTTTTAAATATCCTAAGCGTAAAAATAGTGATAAAAATTGAAAATAAGTAGTATTGATTAGTCAGAAAGTAAATATTTTTCACATGCACACGTCATAACTTTGAAAAACAAATACATTTCTAATTACTATTGTTTGTTCAATACCTCTATGTAAGTATATATAATAGTTAGGAATTACAACACAGATAAATTCTTACCAGAACTTTTAATTAATCCAGAAACTAAATTGAATTTTCAATGCCCACTAACACGTAGTAAATTATTCAATAGCTATCTCGAATTAATGGTAATTTAAGGAGAATTAATGAACATTCAAAACCGCAAAAACTGGTTTCATAAAATCGAGCAATAAATCAGGCCGACGAATAACGAGAGCACGAATTTATTACATTAGCCTCCAGTTGCATTTTCAACACGAAATTATAATCTGGCCGAAACAAATTTATGGGATTGGTGTCTTCCGCTTTTATAATTCTGCCTATTTTCTAACTTCAACACCACCATTGCCTAATACAGCCATTTTTTTTGCTTTTAAACAAATAAGGTCTAGTAACATGGTAACAGTTTTTTTTTAATACGAATAAAGTATTTAGGAAATATTGTTATATAAAATATTGTTGGAGATTCAAATTAAATCAGTAAGTCCTATTTTTGAACATTGCTCTTGGTATCAAATTCAAAGATTGACGGACTCGTTGTTGTAATGGTAACAATGAATGGCTTATAATCGACTGGTCGTGGATTCGATCCCCACCGGGTCCAAGGTGTTTTTAATAAATATATATATTTATGCTGGACTTCGTCTGGTAATCTGGATATTTAATGGATGGTAGAATTATTTTCAAGTTAAGTCATACATTCAAATCCGGGGTACAAAATTAATCTTTTGGATGGCCGCGAAATGAGGAGACATATAAAATATCTACAGAGAACTTTTTTTTTTAATCTGAATAAGTTTTGCTTATTGTCAAATCGGAACGAATAAAACTATAGTCTAGCTTATTGTATAATCCTAAAATTATTTTCGAAAACCTCATTTTATATGTATTTAATTACAATTTTGAACGGAAATTTAACGTAAAATTTAAATATATCTTTTCTTGCCTTAAAAACAAAAAGCGCCCAAGATTTTAGCGAAGTGTTTGTTCGTCACGTTTCCGTGTACGTAATTTCAGTAAAAGACGAAACGGATGCGAAAGACGCACACGAAATAATGAACTTCTTTCTTTTAATGAGTTTGCTCCTACGACGAGGCTGTCTTAAAAACATGAGCAATTACTCCATGACAATGTAAAATTGTTTAAAGTTTTCCATTCTTTTCAGGAAGGTGCTGTTTATAACTATGATGAATGTTTTGACTGAAACTTGAAAAAACATTTTTTTGTTATTCATGTTACCTATACTAATTTTATAAAGGTGAAGAGTTCGTTTGCACACGCAAATCTCCCCTACTACTGGTTCGAATTGAGAAAGACTTTAGGCTATAAAACATCACGCTGTAACCAATACGATCGAAGAAAATGTGGAAAAGCGGGGAAAATCAATTATCTTTCAGGATTTTCGTGCGCTGCGCTGCGAAAACGGTTCAAGATACAAAAAAATATAGTATTAAAGAATGATTATTCTATAAAGGCTCTAAAAATAATCCCTATAGTATATACCTTTTGAAATTAGCTTGCAGGACGCGGATGACATCGTATGTAAATGCAATGTTTTTTTTAAAATGAGAGGCTAAATGAGGCTTTGAAAATTTGATGCCCAAAATAACTACTCAACACGAACGGAGTCACGGGCACAGCTAGTATTATATACACCCATGGAAATCCCAAGAGAAATACATTTAATTTACTATAGTATCAGTGTATATTTTATAAACGAAATCACGTAGCCCTTGGTGAACAAACTGTTAAATATCGCCCTTAAATCAAACCTGTGTCTGATTGTATTCAAACAAATTTACGGGATATTGTGTTGACAGCTGCAAATTACATTAACACTGCTTTACATTTAACTGAAAATTCATTTCAACAAGATCACACACAAAAGGGAAAGTTACCAAACGTGACGTTATGTGGGCTTGTTCAATTATTGACATATTTAAATGTTGGTTAACTTTAATATGACATTATAAACAACCCGATTTTGTATTGTCTGTACTTTACGCGGCTTTCAACTGTTAAGAAATGAAAAATCTAAAAAGTTTACGAATCGGGCAGGACCTTAATGCGCACGTGTTAAGGTTGAAATTACGTCGCGCGAGAGTGTAGGACTTGGCTCAATTGGTAAGAGCAACGCACGGAACGCTGATGATGCCGGTTCATGTCCCGTCCGACTCGATTTTTAATTTATATAGTGCCATCTATTGCAATAACAAGTGAAAACAAAATATAAAAGTTTTCAAATGTCCAGTATAAATACAATATGACTTTTTGCGTTTCACAGCACCATATTTACAGTTTAAAATGTGAAACACTTTTTTAAATAAAAATTAACATAAAACGGGACAAAAATGTATACTTATATTGTATGTTAGAATCTGTTCGTATAATGTGCTTATGTTAAATAAATAATAAAACTACATTAAAATCAATGAAACTAATACAAATTTACTTTTCCAAAAGCAACAGAAATAGCTCTCAACTTCTCTCGATCATGTTCAAAGTAAATTAATTAAAATAGAATTATACTTAACTGAATTACTGAAATGCTGTTTTAGACGAACAAAGCTATGTTTTGGCAAACAAAGTATTTATTCACCACTCACAACTAATTAAGTGTACAAACCATTTTTTTATTTAGCGTAAAACTCCTACATGTATATGATACCAAAGGTTTTGCAGTCATAAAATATAATTTTAAACATGACATCGCACAGGTTTCAATTCCCTTCAAAAACAAAACATTTAAGGAGTATAGAACTCTGTCAAGTATTTTCAATTAAGCCGATCAGTAAAACGGACACAGAAGTGTGTCTGCTCTATATCTTATTTAACAAAAGCGGGATTCAACTTCTTAGCATCAAAGCGATGTCTAAACATCATAAACCAAGAATAGCTCGAGTTTTATAATCAAATTGTGACACCGTCCCCATGGAATGATCATTTCTCCTTTAAGATTATTTTGCGAAGGGAGAAGGCAATTAATTAATACGGGGGCAACCTTGTTAATTGTCTGTTTTCTTTTCATTTGCTAGAGACCTTCATAAATGTAAGGACCTTTACGAAGAATAGATAATCTACGAATGATAATTTTATTAATAAAATACAAATGCAAAGTTTAATAAAACACATGACGGCCTCACATTATCAAACACCTGGGATCCCATATTAAAAACTCTGGATCCCAATAAACAGCATACCTGCAAACGCGAAGACACCGTTAGTCAATTCT